CTAAAATGGATAGCACATGATATCTTTTATATACTATTCTATTATCAATGCTGTTATATTCCATGATTCAATCAGTTATGTGCCATGCGTGATACACGCTTAGGCGATCATGTATCGATACATGACTGACGAGGTAGATTTTTACCGCAGTAGGTTGCCATTTCTTTCTGCGGCTATCGAACCCGGTCTGCCCTGCTATTTATCCATAGCTGAGGGAGAAGAAGTGGATTCATACCTTTCCCAAGGATATTAGCACGTAAGGGAATATAGGATACTTTTAGTTCAGTTTACATCATTTCTTTTTCAATCATGGAATATGCTTCAGTGGTCAGTATTATCTCTTCTGTCTGTAGTTCATTCTTAAAACTAGTGAAGCTTTTCTTGTTGGGTAATTTAGCAGCTACTATGTATTTAATGCATTATATAGGTTTTTAATTCAGAGTTGTTCTTCTCCTAGACCAGTTACCAACCAAGGATATAGAACCCGGTCTATCTTGCTATTTACCCATAGCTGGGGAGAGAAGAAGTGGATTCATACCTTTTCCAAAGGTATTAGCACCTAAGAGAATCTAATGGATTCGACTCGGCTTTCCGACTTCTCAATCCGAGCCGCTTATCCATTACTCCACCATGATTAAAATTGTCATAATAATTATTTTAATCATAATTAATTTGAATATATTTTCATGAAACTTATGATGAACCTTTTTAGAAAATTAGGTTGCTTTTATTTCAATTCCTTCTTTCCGCCTTAATTATTTGTATTTTCTTCTCAAATCCAGCCATAATTCTCTTGCGACATAAATATTTTCAAGTCACGAAACATGGGAAACATTTTCCCAGATATATACGTCCGAGCATTTTCAAGTTCTTCACTGATGTATTCTTGGATGCTAATCAAAATCTGTCAAGGTGGAAATGCAGAATTAAAAAAGAAAAAAAAAATGAAAAGAAAAATAAATGCATAGGAAAAAATTAATGTTGGGGAAGGAAATACTGGATTTCTCGGCAAACAGTCAATGAAGCTGCAAATTCAACAAGATGAATTGCAAAAGTAAAAGAAAAATATAAAAACAATAAAAATCGGCAGCAATTTCAGAAAATAAGAAAAAAATAAAACTCTGTTTTTGAATATTCCATCAATTTCTTGTACATTGATGCATACCCACATACACACACACATACACACACACATGTATGTATGTATGTATGTATGTATGTATGTATTTTATCTCAAGCAAGGCGGGAATGTCACTAATACGCAGAGGGTTACAGGGAGTAAAATTGAAAGAGAAGACTGAGTATAAGGAGGATTGAAGATTGAGATTTTTAGGGAGCATGAAATGAAGAAAGAGGACATGGAGAATTTGACACTCACGGGACATAAGAAAAGCCAGAGAGAGAGATGAAACACCACATAAACTAACTACTAGAAGAGTGTAATTTTTTAAAATCATTCCCCCCAAAACACAAGGGAGTAATGCCACTAGTACACAGGGGGTCTACAGGGAGTGAAAGTGAAAACTGAGAATAGAGAGGACTGAAGAAAGGACAATAAATGAACTGGATTCAAGAAGGCAGAAGTTGACGATTGATGTTGCATTTAAATTTTAAATGATTGTAGTTATCAATAGCAAATCAGCTATTTCATCAGTAAAAGTGTGAGACCTAGTTGGCAATCTAGTAGCATGCTTATATTCAAGTAGTCGAGGTACCAGAGATAAAAGCTCGTCAGAGGAGTTGCCATGAACTAATTTGTAGAAAAGCCTCGAAGAAGCCACGTCACATCAGTGAGAATGTGACTGAAGTCAATATGCCTCATCAGGATTGATTACATTACAGATCCTACCTTTTATATATATATATATATATATATATATATATATATATATATAAAGTTCAGAGCAGATAACATTAGAAAGATTTTAGAGTTCCATGAAAATAAGTGGATACAACGTCTAAAAACACACTATCCAGCCTGGCTAAACCATAAATTTAACAATATAGATAGTACTAATATATAACTCTACAAATCAAAACCTACCCACATTTCTCACCCACACAAGACAGACAGGCTTACGGAGATGTTGAGGCCTCACACTTATACACACACCCACACGAATATACACACTTACACACATCATACTCTCCTCCCTAATGAGCCAAATGATAACACACACCCACAGCAATACACACCCTGGAACATATCATACTCACTCACCCCTAAGAACCAAATAACACAAAAAAACACTTAACAGAGACACATCCCCTCTCCAGGACCAATAAAACTGTCAAAGTGACTAGGGGAATTCAGAGAAGCATAGATCCATCCAGCTCTTATCTCAAATAACAACTTAAAAGAGACTTTTTGACCAACACAAGGAATGTTAAAAGATTCATGTTAAAAAGATAAAAAAAAACAAATGAAAACTACAGACAAAAGTTCATTTTCTCCATCAAGACATTCATTTCTGTAGTTCACCGCTACCAGCAAGCAGAAATATTTCTTCTCCTGATGATGGCCAATTTAGCCGAAACTAGTTGAGGAATCTAAATGAAATAATAATAAAAAAACGAAAGAATATTAATCTACAACCCAGTGTGTCTGAAGATTTAAAATATTTTAATATTTTTTAAATATTTTTTTATTGTTCAATATATATAACATATTTTTGTCTATATTTCTGAGATGAGGTATTATGTACAGTATTTACATTAGTCGGACTATTGTCCTCATCTTTGTCGCCATATTTGTCACAACGTTTCGGCCGCTGTTCAAAGAAATATTCAGGTGGTTGGAATTTCGAACTAACCCTTTATTTCGATCGCTGGGGGTAGACTGTTCTAATTCCAATGTTTGATGGATGTCAGTTAAATCTCCTGCTAATTTTTCTCCACTGCCTTAACCAGGAATTGAACTGTATTCTTTGGGTCTGTCACTGATCTAACCAACGCCTTTATCCACTGTGCCATGTGTCCTTGAAGATAACTGAGATCCAAAACAAACAATTAGAACAGTATTTTTCGAAATTCCAAATAAGAAGGCCGAGTGTACAGCGGTCGAAAATATTGTAACAAATATATTGCTAGGAAATTCCGATAAATAAAATAATATGAAAAAATTTGGGATGTCAGAGTAAACAGTTCGTCATCAAATATGCCAATATATTGCTATATATAATTTTAAATAATAATAATATTAAAAAAACAAAAGATATAAAATTATTATCAAATATATTAAAATATTTTATTATTATTATTATTGTTGTTGCTGTTGTTTTTAAATAATCGAATGATATATAATAAAAGCAAATTGACTAGTAGTCAACGAATAAAAATAACGTTATAATTGAAAACGCTTTTCCAACAAAAATGTATATAGGGGTCATTGGTTAGAAATAGTACCTTTGTTGCTGGTCTGCTGCACTTTATTTTAAGGTTAACGGGCAACATTGGCCTCACCTATCCTCTAAATCAAACACGTGTTAAAGGCGGGCTGTCGGCCAAGGATTGAGAGGAGATTTTGGCGCCAAGTTATCTATGTGCACAGAAAGGATTTTATATATATATATATATATATATATATATATATATATATATATATGTGTATATATATATATAATTGGTATTTAAAATATGATTCCAATACATACATAAGAGGTCTTGATGTTTCAAAACAAGAGCCGAAAACTTCAGTATAATTATTTGAATTAAATTGAATTAAAGTAAGCTCTGTTCCATCTTCAAGCGAAATTTTTTTGGGAACCCAAAAAATTTTGAAGTTTTCGGCTCTTGTTTTGAAACATGAGACCTCTTATGTAGCATGTTGGAATCATATTTTTAAATAAATAATTATATTTATGCTCTACTTTTGTATCCAGCACTATTTTTTAAAAATAATAACTAAAATACTAAAGAACTTTGGATTATTTACCAACGCGTTCTTTTTTATTTTCTATATATTTTTACACACATACACACACACACACACATATATACACACACACATATATATATATATATAGCCACCAGGCTTCATCCCAGAGACTGCAAACTCTAACATCAAAACCTGTCAAGGTGGAAATGCAGAATTAAAAAAGAAAAAAAAATGAAAAGAAAAATAAATGCATAGGAAAAAATTGTATATTGTGTGGTGTACCATGCACTACCCAATGTATTTAAGGTGCCGGGGAGGTCAAACTCCGTGATAATAACATACGATCATTGCAAACACCTAACGCGTAGCACACGGTACACCTGTATATGGACTGTGTTGTTTTAATGGAGAGAGTGTGCATTGTGTCGCACAACCAATTGACCACTTTAAACAAATCTTAGTGCAGGTTGATCAGTAACTGGATGGTTAATAGTTCAACACAAATACATGCAAGACAGAAATCCCATGGTGAAGAAGAGATAGCGACGGAGACAGATGGAGGATGCCACTGGCAGTCTTTAGCTTGAATTTCACAAATGTGTGGTAAGAGGTAGATGGCCGTTGAGCAGCACAAAATCGGACATTGTTGCTTTTCGTATCCCCCTCTCATAACAATGCAGCCCTATCTAGGGATGACACAGCTTTCCTCTTATGATGAAGGGTCAATTAAAGGCAACCTAAAAATTGCATGTCTGGGCATGAACCTGTCATAAGCTGGGCATCCAAATTACGCACTCGAAATTTCAGAAAGTCAAAACTTAATAAAACAAACATGTTCATAGCATCTTGGAATGTAAGGACTTTTCAGGATAATAAGATAAAACCCTGAATGCAGAACAGCAATTATTGCAGGAGTACTTAAACAGAACAACATCAGTATTGCTGCTCTATGAGAAACCAGAATTCCAAACAAAGGCAACTCAAAGAAGTAGAAGGTGGCTGCACCTTCTTCTAGGTAAGACGACCTGAATCTGCGAAAAGAGAATCTGGCATCGGATTTGCTATCAGAAACGATCTTGTGTCCCGACTGGAATCACTTCCAACTGGTATTTATGACAGGCTAATGTCTCTTCGCTTACCTATCGGTAAGAATAAGCATGCCACTTCAGTTAGTTGTTATGCTCTTATCATAGACTCTACTGAGGAGGTAAAAGAATCCTTTAACTGCTTCGTGAACCTCTTTCGTGACAAACTTGATGTGATGGGGGACTTCAATACTCGTTTTGGATGTGACAAATTATCCTGGGATAAAGTCGTTGGAAAACATGGCGTTGGTAAATCAAATTCTAACTGGGTATTGCTGTTGTCTTTTTTGAAGTGGATTCGATCATTTAATCCTCAACACAATTTTCCAACAACTGCCTAGTTTCAAAACTACACGGCGTCATCCTAGATCAGGGCACGGGCATCTTATTGACTACATCATCGTTTGTGGTCGTGATCGCTACGACATAAACCTGACGCTATCACTAGGAATCGGTCAAAATTGGTCAGATCACAAAATTGTTTGCTCACATGTGGCAATGCATTTGAAGAAGCCTGTTAGAAACAATCGAGCAAAACCGCTAAAGAAGGTAGACATAACAAAGATCAAAAATAGGGAAATATTAGACTCTTTCAAAACATTGTGTGACTCAAAACTTTGATCTCTTGATGTAGGTAATGAAGCTGAATCGGTGTGGCCTGCCTTACAAAAACTTGGCAAAAGAAAATACTCGGGTGAGTTCAGCGAAAACATCAAGACTGGTTTGATTCAAACGATCCTAAAATTAAATCTATCCTTGAAACCATGCATAAATTCATCAGGTCTGGATGGCAGACAAAGCATGCCTATTGTTGTGGATTCCGAGATGAATTCGGTCTCCAATGAAGAACAAACGCAATAATTAAATATAAGAAATAAAATGTATTTACACAATCATACAAAGAGTAATACTGTTAGTAAGTCCAGGAACGAGGTTAGTAGCAAATACAGATAGATATATACAGTCTCGAAGTAGGATATCCTAGAGTCTACGTGCTTGTAACTGACTTCTACAAGAGGTTACCTCACACTATCTCCGTTTGTATATTCTCTCTCTCTCTTTCCGTATATCCTCTCTCACTGACTGTCTAGCTCTGGATATTTAACGGCAGCACTCCAAGTAACACTGGTAGAGTCCACTTATATGAAAAGGGGAGGACTCTATAACACTATCAAAGAAATCAGCCAAGGGGGAATAAGAATGATTGGTGTACAGCAAAGTCTAAAGCTTTTCAGGGTGCTGCTGACAGATGTGACCAAAACTACCAAAACTTGAAGGGTGTTTTTGGTCCCGTTTCCAGGGGTCTATCACCAATCTTTTCTTCATATAACACTCTTTTGACAGACAAAAGCCACATTATCAAACCCTGGGCATAACACTTCTCCACGATCCTAAATCAAGATTTGTCTGTTGAAGTAATAAACAATCTTCCTCAGAGATCTGTTGATAACCCTTCAACCGTCGAGGGAAAAACCCCAATCAAATAACTTTCAAATTGAAAAGCCCTCGGCGGAGATGGAATTCCAGCTGAAATATGCAAATGTGGCACCAATTTTTTGATACGCAACATTTGTAAATTTTTCAACCTTGCCACAGCAGTATAAGGATGCGTCAATTGTCCATTTGTATAAGCGGAAAGGGATCAGGTGTGAGTGTGACAATCATAGAGGAATATCTCTTCTTTCGGTTGCTGGCAAAATCCTTGCTCGTATCATCCTGAATAGGCTGAATGAATTTATCTCGGAATCGGCATTACCAGAGACCCAGTGCGGTTTTTGATCCAGTAGAGGAACTGTGGATATGATCTTTTGTCTCGAGCAGGCTCAGGAGAAAGCACGAGAACAAAACGAGGATCTATTTGTTGTTTTTATAGACTTCACAAAGGCTTTCGATACTGTAGCTCTTTGGAAAGTTTTGTCAAAATTAAGTGTTCCGTAAAAAATACTCCATAATATTATCTCCATTCACGAAAGAATGGAAGCTTTTGTAAGGAGCAAGCGGACACCTTTTTCGTCTCTAACCGTACAAAGTAAGGTTGCTCCTCTTTTCTTTGCATTTTTTTCTTTTCTGCTATGATTGAAAAAGCATTTTCTGACTTAAATAAAGGCGTCGATGTTGAATTCAGAACAAGTGGAGGTCAATACAATCAGCAACAATCGAAACTTTGTCTGCAGCTGAACGTGATCTTCTTTTTGCAGATGATGCTGTTCTATTAACACAGTCTAGAAGGCATTCAAATTATCCTTGATAAATTCTCTGAACCAGAGAAAGTATTTGGACTCACTATCAACATAAAGAAGACTGAGCTAATGTACCAGTCAGTACCAGGCAATCCATCTCTCACAAATCCTTCCGTATTCATTGATGGTTACGGCATTAAAAACTGTTGAGACGTTTACATATTTTGGATCAACAGTCTCTTCTGGTGGATAAATGAACTGAGAAATCCAATTCAGAATATCCAAAGCCAGCACAGCATTCAGTAAGATTAACACCGAAGACGTGTCTCTCAGAGTAAAGATTGATATATACAGCTCAGTTGTTCTTTCAACCCTTCACTATGGTGCTGAAACTTGGACTCTGTACCACAAGCACATAAATCAACTTGACGCCTTACACATGCACTGTCTTCGTGCCATATGTGATATAAAATGGGATGACAGGGTCAAGAATAGTGCAATACCGAAGAAATGTAACAACATCACAGGCATTGAAACCATTCTAGCAAAGATACAACTTAGATACACTGGTCATGTTGTGAGAATGAATGAGCACAGGCTTCCAAAGGAGTTGTTGTACGGACAACTACCAAACTCCAAGCGTCCAGTTAGACGTCCACTCTTACGCTACAAAGACAAATTGAAAGATAACCTGAAACTTCTCAACTTTGATCTGAAAACCTGGGTAGCCCAAGCATCAAAGGAGGATCGTAAGACATGTTTCATTAAGTTAAAGGGTTTTGAAAACAGTAGATCATCTTCGTCAAGCTCAGAAGCAGAGACTCCATCAAAATCCTGCTTTAATAAATTTCATCTTTGTCACCCACATTTAAGAAATCACAAATGAAATATGCTTTTTCCTTACCTGCTTTTCTTCACAAGAGCCGCTTCTCGCCTGTATAAGTGTAAAACGAAAGGCATCATCCACTGTTTTGTGATGTCAATGAATACTCGTTGTCACTTTCGTAATGCTTGTTGTAGTAGAGACTTTGTAATCGCAGATACAACTACAGTAACGCCGTTGAACAATGCTGGTGCCAGACGCCTTCGAATATCACTCGCCCTAATAGTAGTTGTCCGATAATACTCGCTTGAATAGTAATCCGTATAGTGATCCGAATAGAGGAATATTATAGTAAATAGAGTAGAGAATAGAAGTCCGTATAGTATAGGGGATAGACTAGAAATAGCGATCCGAATAGTAATAGAGGATAGACTAGAAATAGAGATCGTTAGTCGTTAACTACTTCCTACATATATGCGTTTCCTCTATGGTCACGTGGTCTACTTAATTCAATAATGGGATCACTGTGTTCGGTCACTGGCGATCTATGTTCAAACTCAAGTGTCGGCAGCGACACTTTATTCCTATATAACACAGTGCTGACCTCATTTATCGTTCACGATAGAGATTCCACCATATATATATATATATATATATATATATATATATATATATATATATATATATGTATAGTGTGTTTGTGTGTCTGTGTGTGTGTGGAATCAACACTGCACAGAGACTGTCACACTTCAATGTGATCTTCAGTCCAAGTCTCACTACTCCTTTATAAGGACACTTATAGTTAACATAAAAGACAGTTGTAGTTTCAGAGACACATAGTGAGAAAGAAGGGCTAGGGAAATTTGATACTCACAGGACAGATTGAAGGTAAGAGGTACAGAGGAAAGCAACACATAGTCTACTGACATGTAGTCAGTTTGAGCAAATTGATGGCAAAGCAGGGCATGGGAGAGATGTCAAAAAGTTATTAAAAGCTATAAGAGAGAGAGGAAATTGTGGAGAGCTATGTTCGCCAATGCCTTAAAGAGAGACAGCACATAGAAGAAAAAGTGGGCTGCACATATCTTGGTCATGAAGAATATAGAAGAAGCTTTTGTTAAATTATTTCAATTCTAAGATGAAAGATTTTCATTATGTATTTTTGGTTAGGTTGCCTTTTATCAGAACTTTCTTCAACTGTTAAAGTTAAATAGCTTTGTTAAATTATTTCAATTGAGATGAAAGATTTTCATTATTCATTTTGGTTAGTCTTTTCTTCATCTTATTGTTGCCTTTTATCAGAACTTTCTTGGTTGAATTCCTTTCAACTGTTAAAGTAAGTAACATGAAGTAAGAATAAAGAAATAGCTTTTGTTAAATTATTTCAATTCTGAGATGAAAGATTTTCATTATTCATTTTTGGTTAGTCTTTTCTTCATCTTATTGTGGCTTTTTATCACAACTTTCTTGGTTGAATTCCTTTCAACTGTTAAAGTAACATGAAGTAAGAATAAAGAAATAGCTTTTGTTAAATTATTTCAATTCTGAGATGAAAGATTTTCATTATTCATTTTTGGTTAGTCTTTTCTTCATCTTATTGTTGCTTTTTATCAAAACTTTCTTGGTTGAATTCCTTTCAACTATTAAAGTAAGTAACATGAAGTAAGAATAAAGAAATAGCTTTTGTTAAATTATTTCAATTCTGAGATGAAAGATTTTCATGATTCATTTTTGGTTAGTCTTTTCTTCATCTGATTGTTTTTTCCTTTTGTTATTGGGTTTATGATAAACTCTGAAATCTAATTTGTTTAATAAGATGACAAGAAAAGGTAGAGATTTGTTTATTTCAAATTGATGTGTCAATTTGATTGTAGGTTCAACCTCGTTAAGTTTCTTTACTATGTCTAATAGATTTATATTATGAGGAAATAAAAGAACATCAGCCATATATATTAGATAAGTAGTTTTTTTTAGGTATGATGTGTTTAAATGGAGCAGACTCTAAAAAAGTCGCTCTTTCATAATTTCTCATTTATCTTGGCCTATTCTCTAGTTCTTGATTGACCTCTTTCCTTCTCCTATCTCTTACAGTATTTCTCTTCTCATTGATCTTTGCGCGTTTCTAAGGTTGATTTTGCTGATTTCAAAGTTTTTCCTCCAGACATAACAACTCTCATTATTCACTCATTATACACTTTCACGTTTGAAACATATCGGCAAAGTGTTTTCCCCTAAGTCTCTAATTTTATTAAATACTAGCAGAAGAGCCCAGGGGTGTAACAGTAAGAGATAGATCAAGTATCGACCATCATAAAGACTGGAAAATAAAATTGACAAAGATTATTGTTTAAGGTTGACGGACACGCATGTCTTAATTAGTTATTTTTTTTTTTACGTATTGGTCAAACTCAAACAAAAACATTATTTTCAATCGTTATGAGTCTACCGATTGAATAGAATTTTATTATAAACAATTGTCTTGTAAATGGAATTTTTAAAGCATTCTGAATGTTAAAATAAAGAAAAAACTGTGCAAGACAATAAGAAACACCACCTGCCAAAAAAAAGTGTAGTTTTGTTGAAATCGGTTGAAAAATGTAGGAAATCCGATTCCATATATAAACGAACACACACATACACAAACAACCTGGGTTTTATAATAAGTATAACTCGATATGTGTTGTCCCCCTTGCATTCTCGCGATGCCTCTTAATCGTGTTTTCAAATTGATTTCATGCAAAAACAATTGTGTTTTTCCAATTTTTGGCGCTGTCAGAACCACCGCAAGGTAATTTTACGTAGTCCTGTGAAGTTTTGTTGAAATCGGTTGAAAAATGTCGGAAATCCGATCCAATATATAAACGTACAGACACACAACCTGGGTTTTATAATAAGTATGATTTTACAAAGCCCATGTTATATATTGCTTTATTTCATTTCATCTTTGATGTTATCGCTCGGCCTAAATCAATGAATTCCTTGACTTGTTTATTATCTTTGCTTCATTTCTGTTTGTTTTAAAAAGTCTAGTATTGCTTGTAAGTATGTTAGACACATCATCGCTCACCTGTCAAAATGACTAACTCTCCATCTCTCAGACCAGAGCTCCATATGGACACATTTAAAGCCAGCACATAAATTTACCAGCCTTGATAGGCAACATAGTTACTGAGAACACAAATGTGAACTTCCAAATGCAAAAAGCATTTTAAAATAATGACAATTCTTATAAAGCAAACATGTGTAGAGAGACAAAAATTGTTTTCCCTTGGGTTGAACGCATGGGAGTTCAGCCCCTTTTGATGGGAGAATTCTTCCCTTTTTTGCTGCTGTTTTGGGAACGGTTAATACTTTCTTAACCACCAGGGCTTCCACACACATGGAAAATGGACAACAGGTACACAGCATAACATAGAATAAAAAGTTTGTAGTAGAGACTTTGTAATCGCAGATACATCTAGAGTAACGCCGTTGAACAATACTGGTGTCAGACGCCTTCGAATATCACTCACACTAATAGTACTAGCTCGATAATACTCACTCGAATAGTAATCTGTATAGTGGTCCGAAAAGAGAAATAGTATAGTGACTAGAAGAGCGAATAGCAGTCTGTATTTTAATAGAGGATAGAGTAGAAATAGCAATAAGGTCACGTGGTCTACTTAATTCAATAATTGGGTCGGCTGTGTTTGCTCACTGGCGATCTCTGTTCAAACCCAATTGTCGGCAGCGACACTTTATTCTTATATAACAAAAAGTCATTTTCATTCACTTTGTTACTGTCAAAGGATATAAAGCTGATATATTTATTTCTTTGCTCGTTTCTTCTGTCAAACATTCTCGTCATTTGAACTGTGTATATAATCATTTGTTTTGGGACATGTGTAAATCATTTTAACATGTGTATCTAAGTTATAATTTGTCATGAAATGTTTTGTTTATTACGGGCGTGTATCTCGTCTTTCTGTATCTATAAAAAAGAATACCCACTCGGCCCGGTGGCTAGGATCAAAGTGTAGTATCTGCGCTTTGTGAGCTGCCGGTCGGGTGTCTGTCGAACTCTCTGCTTGCAGAGAGGAACCCGGACGAAGCCCGCCGAAGGGTAGGGTTTCGTTGGGGAGGTTGATGGAACTGGCCCGCCTCGGCGGGTTTGGATGGTTATTTATTTTTGGCTGGGCCTACGGGCTCAGAGATACCCACATTAAAAAGGCCTTGTGCAACATTCGATCCCCGTGGGTGGATTGATAAATACCATCTCGTCTTTCTGTACTCACATTCAGTGTATCAATGGCTACACTAATGCTAATATTAGTACCTGGTGTACAGGAAAGCATTATTCTTCCTAGCACTAGCGGTAAATTATGGCTGGCTTATAAGCAATACTAATACATGAAATCAACACTTAATAACATCATTTATGCACAAACCAAGACAAAAGTGTTTAAAAAAGAAAACAAAACTTTTAAAAAAGGCAAACAAGTGTTTAAAAATGGAAAATAGCATTTAAGAATAAAAAGTCAAAGAACTATTTAAAAATTTACAAAAAAGGGTTTTCTTTATTCTTATCCAGAGTCAATATGTTCCTCCATTTTGTCATGATTTCAGTTCTTCTTTTTAATAAACTGTACTAAATAACAGAAACCACATCACTTGAGGACTACACACAGCGGCAACTACTAAAATGGATAGCACATGTAATTCGAAGAGAAATTAATGATACAATCATGATGTTAACATTCCGCACCACTTCAAATAGCTTGGAAGGAAACCCCCATTAATACTGTAAAGAGTTATAACAGCTACTGGAAATGTTTTAAGAGAAAGATTTTATAAAATTCAACTGAAAGCAATACTGGCTTCTCAGTCAATGAATGCCAAATGTTTCCTTATAGGGAAAAGGTGAATATTACTATTACCATGTTCCGCACACATTTATGTCGATGTGAACTGCTTGAGGTCAAACCTTTTTGACAGTATAACTTGCCATGGTCCAGCTTTGGAAGCAAAAACAACACCTTCTGGAATGACTATTCTCATCAAGCAAAAGAACGGGGCTTTCCGCAACTTCCTATTCTTTGTAGCTCTTAGAAATGTTTATCTTTTTACTATCTTTCCCAGACTATGTTCTGCCATCTGCTTACACAAGCTTCTTAGGTAGGTTGATCATAGCTCTTCACAATTTCCTATACTTTGTAGCTTTTAGAAATGTTTGTCTCTTCACTATCTTGTTCCCTGTTCTGCCATCTATATAAACAAGCTTCTTTGGAAGGTTGATCATGGCTCTCCACAACTTTCTATCCTTTGTTTGTCTTTTCACTATAACTCACCTTTCCTCTTCTGGCATCCATTTAAACCCCATGCGGAAACGCTTGGGTTTTCCCACGAAAAACGACCTTGTGTCACATCTTGACCTCGTGGGAGTCAAGTAAATACCGCCGGGGTTACGGGCTTGCAGCCCGGCCTTCGGGCTGGGTTGCGACCATGGCAAAGTCTAGTTTGGACCATATCAGGACCTGCTAAGACAAGCCAAGACCAGAACTTGACTAAGCTTTGACCAGCTTGGACATGTTATGACCAAAACATTGACTAAGCCTTGACCAGCTTGGACATGTTATGATCAATCTTTGACCAGTGACCCTATGCGGAAACGCTTGGGTTTTCCCAATGAAAAACGACCTTAGGTCACGTCTTGACACCGTGGGAGTCAAGTAATCCCACGAAAACGACCTTGTGTCACATCTTGATCTCGTGGGAGTCAAGTAAATACCGCCGCCAGGGAGCAGCCTGGCCTTCGGGCTGGGTTGCGACCATGGCAAAGTCTATTTTGGACCATATCAGGACCTGCTAAGACAAGCCAGGACCAGAACTTTGACTAAGCTTTGACCAGCTTGGACATGTTATGACCAAAACATTGACTAAGCCTTGACCAGCTTGGACATGTTATGACCAATCTTTGACCAGTGACCCTATGCGGAAACGCTTGGGTTTTCCCACGAAAAACGACCTTGTGTCACCTCTTGACCCCGTGGGTGTTAAGTAACAGGGAGCCAGGCCAGGGAGCAGGAAGCCTTCCTGATTCGCGACTTTGACGCGCCCAGTCAAGTCGACCAAGCCCAGCAGCTGACGGGACCCAGCAGCAGTAGCAGCAGTTGTTCAAACAGTCCTTTTCAGGGCTAACTTCCGAAAGTCATTCGATCACCACTCTTCAAGGCTCCACTCACTCCACTTTTGCTACTGCCTTCCCTCTGAGACACCAGCTTCAGCACCCTGCAGCTTCCAGCACTCCTGCAGCTTCCAGCATTCCTGCTGTCTCCAGCTCACTCCAACCGCTTTCAGCTCACTCCTACCGCTTCCAGCTCACTCCTGCAGCTTCCAGCACCCCTGCAGCTTTCAGCTCACCCCTGCGGCGCTCTACTGACGTCCGGACACCGTTCCCAAACAAACGACCTCTGTCGTCTTCCCATCCACCGTTCGCAAGTAAAGACACGATTTCCATCGTCTACAACGGACCATCTGCGTTTGTCATCCTTCTTTGCTATTGCCATCTCCTTGCCTTTGTGTCCCCTATTTTAGTTGTACGGTCGATTGGCACTCACACCTCTCGGTCCGCTGCAACAACAGTTTGAACATTTGAGGAATTGATATGTTTATTATTGATATGTTTATTATTTGTCTATATTTCTGAGATGTGGTATTGTAAGTATTTACATTGTTCGGACTGTTGTTCTCATCTTTATTGTCATATTCATGACATTTCGGCCGTTGTACGCTCTGGTCTTCTTCAGGATCTGTTTATATTTCTGAGATGAGATATTGTTACTATTTATACTATTTACATTGTTCAGACTGTTGTCCTCATCTTTATTGTCATATTCATGACATTTCAGCCGTTGCATGCTCCAGGCTTCTTCAGGATTTGCCTATATTTCTAAGATGAGGCATTGTAACTTTCTACACTATTTACATTGTTCAGGCTGTAGCTCTCATCTTTATTATCATATACATGTTTATTTTTGATATGTTATTATCGATATGTTTGTATAATCAATACAGTATATTTTGTGTACACATTTTGTTTTTTTATTACCATAGACCTACATTTTCATTCCCCTTTACATAATCTGGACACATTTAAGGCAAGTAAAGCAAGAGGAAACAGTGAGTGACGTACTTAACGTGTTTGTTTGACACATAACGAGGAAAGAAGACTTGGAGAAGTTAACACTCAGAGGACATATTTAAGATAAGAGAAGGAGAAATAAACAATGAGTAAAGTGTTTGTGTAAATGGATGGCAGAACGAAAACAAAGAATGATTGTAAACGGTCATGTGTTTCTTAGAAAAAAAACCCAAAAAATACAGGAAGCCGCGGAGATCATTATCTCTCATATTCTGAACGGATGTAACACATAAAAGAATAAGAAAGCTGTTTATAGCAATAAATTGAATAACAAAAGAGGTGAATTGCTCGATTTTTTATATACTTCGTTGAAACTAATCAACCGGATATTGTTATCCTCCCCCCCCCAAAAAAACTCTCTCAAAGTAAATACAACAATCAGCTTCTTTTGTACTAATTACAATACAGTAGAAAACTACGCTACATATAAAATATGGAACTGCCTGTGTTACACGCATTGCTTTAGGAGTGTTAGACCCAACAAGATTTGATGGGTAAATTGCCGCCATTTTATATTTTTAATTTCGCACATGCGCGTTGTTTGTTTTTGATGTTTCCGACTACACAATATAGTAGGGTCAGTTGGGAATTGTCTGGGAGAAAGAACACCATGACGCAATTCACTCCTACAGAAACTTGGAAACGGCATGTTGTACTGCTTCGCATTTACACCGGAAGCTCCAATACTAACATTTCAGAGCGTTTAAATGTCAATCTGAGGATAGTGCAGAGGATTCGGAAAGAGTTGGATGAGTCTAATGGTGATTACGAAGGTGACTGGAGTGATCGCTAGTGATGGCGAAGTTATGCCGCCAGTAATCTTCTCGTGGGGCCTTAGCCTACATCAAGTGCCTTAACGAGGTAGTGCTGACCTGTGTTAAGAGTGTGGCTGCTGAAAGAGTCTATGCCTGGCAACAGAACCCTGCATCATGCCACATAAGCAAGAGAACCCTGTCATGGCTGTCAGACAATTTTTGTGACTACATCACACCTTGCATCTGGCCACCTAACTCCTCAGACTGCAACCCACTTGATTATTATGTGTGTGGCGCAGTTGAGAGAGGGAGATCAACAAAACTCTTTGTAACACCAAAGATGAACTGAATGCAAGGATTATGGCAGCATTCATCAGCTTAAACAAGAAGACAGTTCAAAAGAGTTGCAGAAGATTCCGAAGTCGTCTTGAGGCCGTGGTTGAAGCCAATGATTATTTTATCGAATAAATTTACTCTTTAGTATTTCAAGATATTTTTGTGTAATTTTGGTAAATATATCTGTTAAAAGGAGATGTCAGTGATATTTTCAGTTTTGCGTAATTTAGTCGACAATTTATCCATCACACCCTGCATTTGCTACTGGTCTTTCCTGTTTACAATCAATTCACGCTGACGCTTGTCTGTTTTACAAAATGAATTCAAGCGGGTTTAAAACAGTGGTAGACAACTCAGTTTCCGATTTGACAATTTCTACAATGCAAGAAACATATACAATAACAACATAGGCTCTATTTGATTGGTATGATGATTGAAACTGCGGATCCAATATGTCTGCTGTTCTGAAAGTCTGCTATTTCAGAACATATGGCTATTGTCTGAAAAATTGGCATCAGAACAGAAACACGAAACACACAACAGGTGTAGAAAAAAAAACGAGAAAAAACCCGCTAAGAAATGTTTGTCAAAACAGTAACAAAGAGCTGAGCATTTGAAATTGTTTTTAGATATTGTGGTTCTTGACTGAGATAAAAGCTGAAATGTAGGATATCTGATCTCTGTACAACAGCAGATAAATATTGAAACATTTACGTATGATAAAAGAAACGTTTATCTGACTAAAATGTTTCACTTTTATCAGAAATTGAGACATGGAGAAAAAGAAAAAAAGAAATTCTGGTATTTTTACTTGCATTGTTCTATTTTCATTGGTTAATCATGTTTCACATGCATTCGACTTGTTAAAGAAACGTTAGTATAATTTGTAACGTTCTAAATTAATGTGAGACGATGCGTTCCTTCGAAGAAATTTCCAGATTCCAAACCTAACTGAAAAAAACCGTAAATATTGCTTTATGTAAGTGTATAATAATTCTAGTGTGTCTATGTCGGGTCTCACCTAAAATGCACACAACAAACATGGCGGACTCGGAATATGAGTCCATGTAAAAAATGTAGAAGAAACAAGAAGAACTGATATATATATATATATATATATATATATATATATATATATATATATATATATATGTGTGTGTGTGTGTGTGTGTGTGAAAAGTATATATAAATATAAATAAATATATATATATAATTATTTATATATTATATGCGGTACTTATTAGAAAGCGCTCAATATCAGAGATAGAGCTAATATATTTGGTTGGATATGTATATATGTCTGCATACATCGATGTTTGCGTTAGTACGATGAATGACAAAACGACGAAGTTTCCCCACCACTTCTACAATAACACCAATACACGTAATCTACATAAAACCCAAATTTTTAAAACATTAATCAGTTTGTCTGACGATCGCAATAGCGTGAAACCCAGGGTCACAAACTCACATCTATCCAACCAAATATATATATATATATATATATATATATATATATATATATATATATATATATGTACAAATTAATGAATATATATTAACAAACAAAGGTTTACAAATGACAAAGACAATAATGTGTGTGCAACAAATGAATGCATTATGAAGTGAATAAATGTGTGTACATACGTGTGTGTGTATGTATTTATGTAATATCTAAGCATGTCCCGAAAAAAGGGATCACGTTCTTCTGCTAGAAATTTACATTGTTGTCGTATAAGCGGAACAGTAAGAAGGGAGGGCGAGAAAAGAAATCACCAAGTATTTATAGAACTAGAGAGCGTCCCCTAGTAACAGTTTCAGAAACTAAGGAGGAAATAACCCAACACGTACATAACGTTTGAATCTCAGATATAAGAATGAATTCAATACAGGTTGTTGATGTAATATAATGGTTTTGACGTTGTTTATAGTTGGTAATATTGTTTTTAGTAGGCCCTCGAAGTATTTTTCTAAAGGGCCACACCAACAATGCCAACTTGCCTAGGTAGTTCTGAAATTCTATCAAGACCAAACACACAGGAAACTGCCGACATGCTTATACTCAGCGACTGTGTGCATCGTTAGTCAATTGAAGTAAAATAATGCCTCATAAACGCAAATGTTCTCGAAATATTTGCTGAGTTTCGTATCCTAACGCAAACAACGCAATTTCTAAATTGACGTATATTTTTATTTAAGTAATAAAATCTGTCGGATTAATAATAATAATAATAATATATATATATATATATATATATATATATATATATATATATATATATATATATATATATATATAATACAAATACACATATACCTACGTAGGTATATGTGTATTTATTAATATGTATTAGCTCTGTCTAATCGCACTATTATGTTTACACCTTTTGGCTAAATTTGGTAATTATTTATTTGCTTATCAGCGTATGCGAGCAAACACACGCGTATACGGTTGCTAATATCTCGTTATCTCATTTACCTAACCATATATATATATATATATATATATATATATATATATATATATATATATAAAACCGATCGTGATTATTTAAAAGAGTACTTTACAGTCTACATGAGAGCTCAATGTATGATACAGAGCAAATTATATATATATATATATATATATATATATATATATATATATATACAATGAATAACACCAACCTATTCTTTGTGTATGTCTGAAACAGACAACAACTTTATAATAATAAAATAAAATAAAGGTCCAAATATAAAGTGCCTATTACTGAAATTGTACAATAATTTGAGTCTCTGCTCAGGACAATGATATGTGTGATGTCTGTTGATATTGCATCTGGAGTTCAGAACATGGCGCTCCTTAACGCTAACAACTCGACTGATGTCAGAAAAGAGAGAAAAGAGGTCGCTATTCTTTTTTATACTTTTCCTTATGCAGACGATTCTCTTTAGTCAAGAAAAGCCTAAGGTCAACTCCATTTTTAGTCACGGAATTAAACGTGCCATACAGATTTTCAAACATCCGTTACACTCCACGCTCTACTTGCAGCTGCTAACCGCCTACTGCAGTTCTCGTACAATGAAGCCCTCTCCACCCTACGTGGCGATTAAGTATGAAGAGGTACATTGCTGTCTCAGTCGAAACGTTTCTTGAAAAAATAGACCTCACAGCAACTAGCAGTTCGTCTGCAGTGGTAACTTGTTTTACCATGACTTCTCAATTGAATATAGAGAGATTTTCAAAATGAACTCCATCTTCAGTCCACTTTCATTGCTTTTTCTCCTCACTAAAAGTTTTTTCATTCTCTTCCTCTACCATCGACCCCCTTTTGTCTTAGGGGTCGTATCGCCTTGATTGACTCACCTCATCACC